TCTAAGTTTGCAGGTATCCACATTTGCATACAGCTTTCTGTTAGAATCCCGTATACTGTAAATAATCTATGGTTAAAAAAAATCTATGTAAATAAATCTATGGTAACAAAAGGAGTCAGTGATTGGCTAGGAGAAACAGTGGAAATAAGCAATTACAAAAAACTAGAGGGAATTTGAGAGGTTAGGGGTGATGAATAAGCAAATAATTTGGTTTGTGGTTATGGTATCACTAGAGTGAGAGTGAGTGTGTGTGTGTGTGTGTGTGTGTGTGTGTGTGTGTGAATTCATCAAATTACACACACTGTATAATTTATTGTATTTCAGCTATGCCTCAAAAAAGGAAAAGAAAATTTTGGACTGATCATTGCCGTAGAGTCAATTTCAAATCACAGAGACCTTACAGAGACCTCACAAGACAGAGTAGAACTGCCCCATAGGATTTCCACAGGTAAAATCTTTACAGAAGCCAAATGCCACTGCTCTCAATAGTGGTTGGTAGATTTTAACTGTCAACCAGTTAGCAGCCAAGTGTTTAATCATTGTGATCTCAAGGTAAAGAATTAAATTGCAAGGGGTAATTTATGGGAAGTGGGGGATGCCTAAGAGAAAAGCAGCAGTTTATCCTTAAAAAGTATTAAGTTCAGTGAAAAGCATGAGGAAAAAACCCAGGTGGCACTCAAATGGGATTTTATCTTGTTTTCAGAAAACCTGGAGTGCACCTCTCCCTAACTTGCACTAATGTTTACGGATTCAGAAGAAAGGCATGAGTAGAAAAAAGAAAGTTGGAAAATGTTGTTGTTGTTGTTCTTATTGTTTGATGCTGAAATCCAGGTAAATGCTATTATTTTAATATTTTCCCTATTAACATGGAGATACTAAGATAAATAATGTGTACCTAGAAGTGGAAAATAGTGTTCCACAGAAGGCTTCATAACCACATAAATGTAGTGATTCCAGTATTAATATCACCGTAGAACTGAGTGTAAATACTGTACATTTTGAAAACACTATGATAGTGCAAAGGAATAGATACACATCTCTCCTCTGCACTATGCGAAGTACTCTGAGGCTGGAGGAAATGCATCAGCATAGCTGGCTGGGCATGATCAAGAGGGTTTTGATCTGTGAACATAGGGTCATTATGAGTCACAGTTGACTCCATGACACCTAACAACATACTACTGTGAGGCAAGTGCTGCTTTGCTACCTCAGCCTACTGTGAACAGCCTTGATCACACGTGCTGATTGTTTAAGGGATCGAACATGCTAGCTTCATCAAAGCGATTTTAAAAAAATCGTTCTTTACACTTCTGCTTAGAAGAATTAAAGCTAAATTCTCCTTAAATGATTTGCCATTTTCTCGAAATGCTGTAAGAAAGGCCTTACTATTCAGTAAAAAATGAATGTTCTTACAATTATGTATTCTAGTTAAGCCACATTGGGGGCAGGTTAGCAGTATGACTGATACAATGTACAGCAAAAAGGTATCAATTTTACAAGAGAAATGATGTTTTTAAAAGGAGGATTACTAACAAAGCAAGATCAAAAGAACATATAACTCAATGATTTTCCCCCCATCTTTCCCCCAAAAGAACATTTCTAGAGCACAAATAGGTTCATAACTGTTTAATTAGATATACATATTATATATCCTGAACATAATGGCTCCCATAGAAATAAACTCATATTTGGTACACAGACGTTGTTTACTGTGCCACATTCATAATATATTGACTCAAGCCAAGTGCAGAAACATTTATTTAACCCCTGTGGTGTGAGGAGCTCTGCTCCCATAAACACATTATTATCTAGGATGACAGAAAACAAGGTTAGACAAGATGGAAAATTAAAATCCATAAAATAATAATAAATAAAAGGTACTTTAGATTGTAACGATAAGCTCTTCTCCAGCCACAGCAGTACTGAGCCAAACCATTTGATCCGTTTTTATTTAACTTCTTCCTCCCTGCTCCTTGGGGCAGGAACTAATGATTGATTAGTGAAAAGCACAAAGGCATGAAGCCAGAATCATCAAGAGAAGCAAAAGGTTTATTAACTCTCCAACTGGGAATCCCTTGTATTGAAAATTTCTTGGTTTATCTCACCCAGAAAATTATGTGTGATAGCTTTTTATGTCCTATATAATTGATACGTGCCATTAAGATGTATCTCAAGTGAGGCTTATTTTTACAATTGCCTGGAAATGATGGGATATTTCAAAGTAATCCATAAAAAAGAATTACTTAATTAAAAAATACCCCCACATTAAAAAAAAACCTGGGAGTAAATCTCCAGCCTACAGAATCTAAGTAATTAGTTTCTGGTTGGCTTCCCTATGTGCTGGGCTAGCCATCGATCTGTTCTCTCTAGCCTGGTCCACAGGGTTATATCATCACTGACTACTGTGATCCTTAATGACTAGCTTAAATGAGATGAAGGAACTTATGAATAAACCATAAGGGATGTATAGAGGCATATTAAGTTCTACTCTAGTTTACATCATTTTAGGGAAAAGCACATAAGAAAAAAATGTCTCTGAAATAAAGGTTCTATAAAATTCTAATAAGTGATAAGCTTTTATAAAGAAAATTACATAATACTTAATTCTACTTTTTTTTTCTTCTGTTTAAGCCACTCTCAAAAGCTCAAATATTGTGTAGATGGAAATGCCAAACAAGAACATATCTCACAATTCTACAACTGTCATATCAAAAAAGTGAACTAGGGTAGATATGAGGCCATTAGATTGATGTGGTCAATAAAAGAAATAGGAGTGTTATCTAAAACTTAATTCAAAATGGAATTTTAATCAGTATACCTGAACCTTACTTAAGAGACAGTCTAAGCATTAATATGCTCAAATATTGTGATTTTCATTACTTCTGACATTTTCATTTTATTCTCATTCTTATCTTGAAATCTTGATCAGAACTTCAGGTTAACTCTGTCTACCACTCAGAAATTGGATTTGAATCCAGAATATAGATTATTTCCTCTATTTCTTTTCTTTGGCTCACTTCCCAAGTGCTAGGTAGAACAGTAGGTGCCTTGATGGAGCCGTAGTCCTTCTGCACCTGCCTGAATGATATACATCATTTGCCATTTGGTCTCATCTTCCTCTTCTACCTACAGGACCCTCACTTTGCAGAACTCTTACCTTGTATTTAGGTTAGATATTTTGAGACTGCGGAGGAAAACACTAGCAAGTATAGACCAGAACCACTTTAAGGCTTTACCAATCATGGGAGAAGAGATTATTACATAGAAGTCAATAGAACTCTAATTACATTCCAGTTAAAATTAAAGGCATGTATGTAGGATGCAGATTGAACACTGTCAAGATGAAAGGACAGAAACAAAAATAGTAACAAGGGAAAGATTTTGGTACCATGGTGGAAGAAATCTATAGATTTAAATTAGGAATGAAAGGACTAGGACAGCATAGAGAGGGTGCTGTTTAAGTTGATCACTTCCATCTGGTGATGGATTATTGACTTTGGAATGACACTTTATTCTGAAACAATGCACACTGCATACATAATATACAGACTCAGACTCAAAGAGGAATGAGTTGTAGGATAATGAAAATTTTAACTGTTGCTTCAATCAGTGGTAACCCCAGACTTTCCCCTTATGTCCTCATCAACAGGTCTATGTTTGGTATTGTATTAACCAGTACTGAGAAGGCGATCCTGAGGAAAAATAACACTAAATCAACACCTCAATAAAATGTAAAATGTCAGTAACTTTGTTATCAGAGTTTAAAATAATACTTAATGTCTGATGGTAAGTCTAAGAATAAAAATCTAATTAAGAATAAAATATATGTAATTTTAGAATTCTCTAAGAACATCTCTAGAGATTTTTTTAAACATACAAGCATTTATATATTCATCTACGTGCAGAAACTTAGGAATACTAATGCAAGGACCTACAAAAGCCTCTGTGTATTTGTGGAGGGAAAAACAAATCCTGAAGGATGCCAAACACATTTCTGTCCCACTTTTCTTGGGATGGATAAATTCCTTAGCTTAAGTTTCTATCTCTGCCAATGCAAGGTGTGATCCTATATCATACAGAACCACTTGATGAAAAATCTGAACTAAGAGTTTGCATAGAACTCATTTAAACAATGCAAGTAAGCAAACGGAATTCTTGCTTCTGTTCCCAGTGGAATTTGAATAGTGTCAATGAACTGAGCTTCGTATACAGATGCAGGTTACATTGTGCTTCACTCAAAATTTTATAATTCCAGTACGACTTAAACCTGTTCAGGAATTCCATATGCTTTTAGTTATTTTCTTCCAAGGTTTTAACACTGTTGTCAAATGTTCAAATTAAATACAGCTTTTACCAAATAACAGGGCACACTGGGAGGCTTGATGGAGAAGGGGTAGTTTATTACCTGGACGCAGAACAGGAACTTAATGAGCAATGTGAATACAGAGATCTACTTACTCACAACTCTCTTTTTATCTTTTAAGATATATGACATAGCAACTGATATATCAAAGTAAAGGATGTGTTGCTTAGTTATTCTTTTTTAGTTCCTTTAAATGAGACTCATTATTTCTGATTCCATAAAGTGAATCATGCCATGATTCAAAAGATCTGTCCTTTACATAAACCTATGAGCACACATTTTAAAAAATGAGTTATTGTACATTTTCACATTTCTTAAGGCATGAACAATGGTGTACAGATGGAACAGGTTCTGAGAAGCATCACGTGTTTTTTGACAAGGCCAGCACAAGTGCACCACGTCAAACAGACACACTTGAAGTCTGAACTGACTGACCGCTGTGGCCCGGGAACTCCTCTGAGAAGGTGATGGCGCTTCCAGACAAAGGATCAAACGGGTGGCTTACATGTCATGTTGCTTTGAACTCTCTTCATCAGCTTTAAGCACCAGTTTGGTTTTTCTTTACAAACCCTTCAGACTTTGGACTTTATACTCTACTCCTTTTATTCTGCTTTTCAAGGAGGGTGTGGATGTTTTTAAGGAATATGGTTGCAGCAAAACAGAAAGGATCCAAAAAGTGGTTAGGGGCCTTGTCTAATGCACTTCTGAAAGTCCATTATAAAGATGAATAGAAAAGCAAATGGTAGGTTTTCCAGTTGACCCACAAACCACGCGTAGCTATAAGAAACATAATTGTGCATAGTTATTTATTCATTCAGAGTGTGATATGTTGGCTAGCTCTACAATCCCAGTTCACCAAAGAACAGGGCTGTCTACTTTACTAAACCCAGGGTCTTTCCGCAGCTCCCAATAGGTGTCGTTAGAAACCCAGGCTTCTCTTTGATTGGCATTGACAACTTTTCTGTGAAAATATAAAAGCGAGCATTAGATACAAATTGCATCATGAGCCAATAATAAGGTTCTCTCTTGTAAATAAGAAACATACATAGGAGCAGTATAGTTTCAAGTCAATTAGTGTCATATCTGTTTACTGATAATTTGGATATTTTTGTTGTTTTTTTTAATTGATGTTTTGGATATTTATGTTGATATTTTTGTTGATGATTTGGACATTCTGTTCAATTACTCAAAACAACCAACATGGGAGTAGAGAGGGCTCTGAGAACAGAAGGTTAGGATGGGAACAAATAATCTCCAGGCAAGACTTGTTGTTATTGTCAATGATTGCCATCGAGTTGAGCACAACTCATAGCGACCCTATAACAAAAGGTCTAAAGCCTTTCTATAACTATCAACATTTATCAAAGTTCATAGAGTTTCCAGAGACATGTTTAGGAAGTGGATACCACTCTCGTTTCCAACAAGGCAATACCAGGAAGTGAAGAAACCCAACCAAAATGCATATTGATTATTATTAATAAGGACTTCCACTTGCAGGGGGTGGCGGAGGTGGGTGGTTGGGTGGGGATACAACATAATAGCTCTAAGAGCTTCTGCAGTCAAACTTTAAACTGCTCTGTAGACATCTGAAGGGGAAGAATGCATTCTACCTCAGGCAGCCATGAAACGGCAACTCTGAAGGATCTGAAGTTATCCTGAGCTTTTTTCTGGGGGCAATAGGTAGAATTAGAAAGTAGATTAATCTGTGTGATGTAGAGATAAGCCTGTAAATATTCTTGTAATAGTCACCACAGTGAGACCAAACCTGAGCTTCAAATTAAGCTTCACACACTAGAAAGAAAATGAAATACACTGAGCCAGGGAACTCTGGTGGCCTTGTGGGTAAGGAGTTGGGTTGCCAACCCAAAGCCAGGTGGTTTGAATCCAATAGCTGCTCCTCGGGAGAAAGATGGGCAGTTCCATCCTGCATGATTTATAATCCCTGAAACCTACTGAAGGCTTAGCTAGGAGTCAGTTCCTACGTGATGACAATCAAGTCAGAATGACTACATGGACAGTGGGGTCCCATCTCATCTTTTAGGGAGGAAAACGGAACAAGTTCCATCATTCTGAAGGGTATAAGGTAAACCTAAAGAGCAGAGTGTTCTGGACAAGATCTTCAGTCTCTTCTGCTGTCCACAAAAAGAAAGCGTTTTATGTTGTTGTTGTTGTTATGTGCCATTGAGTTGTTTGCGACTCATAGCGACCCTATGTACAACAGCCCTAAACTCTGCTCTGTCCTGCACCAATCGCACTGTCTCTGACACATTCATCCCAATTATCCCAGTCACTGAATCAATCCACCTCATAGAGGGCCTTCCCCTCCTGCGCTGTCCCTCCACCCTCCCAAGCATGATGTCCTTCTCCAAGGACCGGTCTCTCCTCACAACATGTCCAAAGTATGTTAGACAGACCCTCAGAATCCTTGCCTCCAAGGAGCCACCCGGTTTAACCCTTTCCAGGACAAATCTGTGTTTTCCTAGCAGTCCATGGTATTCTCAATACTCTTCTCCAGCAACACAACTCAAAGGCATCAATTCTCCTTCTATCCTCCTTGGTCACTGTCCAACTCTCTGATGCATAACAAGTGATTGCGAAGACCATGGCCTGTATCAGACGCACGTTAGTCTCTAGACAGACACCATTGCTCTTCAGTACTTTGGAGAGGTCCCTAACAGCAGACTTTGCCATGGCAATACATTTTTCAATTTCCTGGCTGCTGGTGCCAAGAGTGTTGACTGGGGAGCCAAGCAGACTAAAGTTGTTAACAATCTCAATCTTTTCACCATCCATCCTGATGCTGCCAATTGGTCCAGTGGTGAGAATCTTTGTCTTCTTGACATTGAGCCTCAATCCATATTGGAGGCTGCAGTCCTTGACCCTCTGCAGCAGGTGCTTCAGGTCCTCTTCATTTTCAGCAAGCAGGGTTGTGTCATCTGCATAACGCAGACTGTTGATAAATAGTCCACCAATCTTGACCCCACATTTCTCCTCATAGAGCCCAGCCTCCTGGATAATCTGTTCTGCATATAGGTTGAAAAGGTATGGAGATAGGATGCATCCCTGGCGTACACCCTTCCCAATTTTGAACCATGCAGTGTTCCCTCGCTCTGTTCTGACTCCTGGTCCAAGTATAGGTTTCGCATTAGAACGATCAAGTGTTCTGGGATTCCCATTCTTCTCAGAGTCAGCCATAGTTTGTTATGATCCACACAGTCAAATGCCTTTGCATAGTGTTATATAGAGGAGAATTTAATTTTAAGGAAAGCTAGTTCCATAGTTTCACTTCCAAAAGCAAAATAACAATATCAGTTTAGTTTTAATCTTTAAATCTACCTGTACATTCTCTGGGCACCAAACTATAATTTTCTTTTTTTAAAATACATTTTTAATTTATACTGATGTGCTTACAAAGTTTGTACACATTGTTTTTCATACCAGATCTTTCCCATTCCCCTTTAACCACCCTTCCCTCTACCCATCAAACTGTGTGATCCTATGATAACCCCCCCTGGCCATCCTCACCTCTCTGCTCCTACCCCTTCCCTCCCACAGCCTCATAATAATTTTCTTTTCACGTGGAGCTCTCCATTGTTTATACATTTGCAAATCATTAGCTTTTTATCTGACAGAAAATGACTTACTTAAAAAATTTTGGTATATGTTCAAGGTTGTTTTCTTCCATGTATCGTCTTCGAGATCTCTGAAGTTCCTCTACTCTTTGTTTTTCTGCTGCTGCAGCTTCCAAATTTCCTTCTTCCAAAAATCTAAGCAGAGAACAGTTGACCTTTTAATCTATTGTCCTCTTTTCGGGGAGGGGGGGATAATCTCATTTATACTAAATTACCATCTGTGGCTGTATGCATAGCATTTTGATAATGTTCTCGCAGCCCTGCCCTTGGCCACATGACTGTGCATCAATCAACATGCTTTCTGCGTATGTGCAGGGAGTGAAAGACTGTGTACAGTAATATAGCGGAGGGAGTGAAAGAAAAGTTCTTGTTCGTTTAAGCTTTTTTTATGTGAGTTGGGGATCTACAACTTGAGATTTATAAGTTTACTGGTGGGTCCAGGGTCAGAACAAATATGAAGTGACAAGTTGTGCTATTTTTAATATTATCAAACAGTATGTGATAACTTAAAAAAATTTAAAAAGAATTAAATTAAAAGGAATTAAAAATAGGGACTCAGTCAAATACTTGTACTCCAATGTTCACAAGAGCAAGAAGGTTGAAATAACTCGTGTCCATCAGATGAGTGGATTAACAAAGAAGGATAAAAGGATACAATAAAGGCAAAAAAAAGTCCTGAAATAAGCTACAAAGATGAATCTTGAAAACATTATGATAACTGAAATAAACCAGATATAAAGGACGCATATTATATAATCATACTGAAATAAAATACCAAGAATAGGCACATGCATAGAGACAGAAGTTTATTAGTGGTAATTAGGGGCTAAGAGGAAGAGGAGGAGGAGGAGGAACTATGGAGTTTAAAGGCCACAGAGTCTCTATTTTGGCCAAGGAAAACTTTGGAAATAACAGTAATACTTGCATAATGTGAATTTGATTAATGTCCCGAATTGTATAAATTGTACAAATGGTTATAATGACAAATTTTATGTTACATATACCATAATAGCAACAAAAGTACAAGAAACAAAATTTTTAAAAAAGTATTTACAAAAGACTATAAAATAAAGGATGGTAACTCATCCATCTAAATTTAGAAAAATTGAGAGGGAAAGAGTTTTCCTATGTTATTATAGAATAAAACTGATGGGCACAAAAGAGAGGAAGTGGGGAAGTAACAGTTCGAGAAAATGACAAGAAGCCAAAGACTAGGAAATGAATGGCAAAAGAAATTGAAGGAGAGAATATTAAAATAGAATCAAGAAAGAAAAAACAGATTAAAAAGAGCCAATGATGATTTGTAAATATTTAAATTTCAAAACAAAAGCAAAGAGGAGGGATATTGTAAGATACATACTGTATAAGAAATGTTTGGTATGCAATGAGGGTTGCAGAGTGGATTATATTTGGGGGTAGGGGGTGGGGTTTG